TCCTTATCATCATCACCATTTCCATCCCCTCGACAGAGCTTCAGGGACCTGGGTCTCGACGAGGACTTCCTAATGCTGTCGACGTCGCACGATTCGGACGGCATAGAGTACGTGTCGACCGTGGAACACCGCGAGCTCCCTCTGTTCGGCTTCCAGTGGCACCCGGAGAAGAACTTGTACGAGTGGGGTTACGCTTCCATCCCGCACACGAGGGACGCCATTGAAGCGGCGCAGTTCACGGCCAATGTCTTCGTCGATAAGGGTAATGGCTCTTGTCGTCTTTACTTGTGTGTTTTGTGGCCGATGGTGTTGGTGAATTTGAATGTATGTGTATGGGTGCACACGTATACACAAATGCAGACACAAGTGTACATGCAAATGCACATGTACACAAATGCGCGCTCACAAAAACAAACAAACAAATACAAAAAAAAAAAAAAAAAAAGCAAATGAGACACAGAAACCGCATATTTTTTTCCCCCTCCAAAAATATCAATCATTTGGAGTCCATCTCTCCCGAAGCATAAAACCGTCTCGCGACCCAGATCTCCCTCGGTATCTGCCTCGTCCCTTTGACGGAGGCAGACATAAAGCGGTGTCTTCTCGACGTCCCCTTTTCCGATCCATCTGCTGGTCGTCTGAGCCATATTGAAGCCGCCAATTCCCAAACTGCGCCGCACACAAAGGCTGATCAGACCGCCCAGGTGGCTGAGCGATTGGCTGGGTTTGTATGCGTATGCGTATGTGTGTATGTTTGTATGTGGGAGGGTGTAATTATGACTGTATGCACTTGCGTACATATATCTGTTGTAGTGTTTATTCCATTTGTAGGGCACTTCATCTCCAATAAACGCAATAGTATAACTGTTAATAAATGGAATCAGTGTTCTTTGAAAAAATATAGAACATTGAAATACGCATCACATACATGGATACTGTGTGTGCGTGCGTGCGTGTGTGTGTGTGTATACCCGTGTCTATGTGTCTGTATGCCTGTGTTTCTATATGTCATTGTTCCTGTATGCCTGTTTCACTGTGTCTTTGTGACTCATTGGTATTGTATGCCTGTGTTTATATGTGTCATTGTATCTGTATGCCTGCGTTTCTATGTGTCATTGCGTCTGTATGCCTGTTTCCCTGTATCTTTGTGACTCATTGTGTTTGTATGCCTGTGTCCCTGCGTCTCTTTGTGTCTATATGCCTGCTTACGTATGCCTATGCCTTCATATTAATCAACGAACACTCCTCCCCCACAGCTCGCCAGAACAACCAGAGCTTCGGCAGCAAGGAAAAAGAAGCCTCGATGCTCATCTACAACTACAGCCCCACCTACATCGCCCAGCTGTATCGCTCCTCCTTCCAGCAATGCTATTTCTTCGAGTGAGGATGGCAGAGGGAGGAAGAGGAGGGAAGGGAAAGGAGGAGAAGGGAAGGAGAAGGAGAGATAGTGGGACAGGGAATGGAAGGAAGGGGGAGGATGAGAAAATGATGGGGAGATAGAGGGCCAGTTACGGGAAGAGAGGGGGAGAGGAGAAGAAAGGGATGGGGAGACTGAGGGCCAGCGAAGGGGAGGAGAGGGTGATAGGATAAATTGATTGGGGAAGAGAGAGGAGATGGAGGGGAAGAGAACTTAACCTAAAGGGTAAAAAAAGGAGAGAGGAGAAAAGAGGAGGAGAAGGGCAAGAGAATAGGAAAGATAAAGGGGAAAGGGAGAATATGGATAGAGGGAGGGCAAGAGAAGGAGAGAAGAGTTGTATTGAAGGGAGATCGGAAAACGAGAAGAGTGGAGAAGGGATGGGACGGAGAGAAGGAGGGAAGAGAACAGGAAGACCGAAAGGAGAGTGAGAAGTAGATAAAGAATAAAAGAGCGAGGAGAGGAGATGATAGAAACTCGGGAAGAAGAGAAGAAGAGAGTGAAAAGTAATGGAAAGATAGATAGAGTGAAGGATGGATTAAAAAGAGAGGGAGAGAAAGAGAGAGAGAGAGAAAGAAGGGGAAGGAGTGAGAAAAGGAGAGATAGAAAGTGAGAAGAGAGAGAGAAGAGAAAGGGAAAGACCCAAGAGTTCTATCTTGACGAAGGAGTCAATTAAAAACTTTGCACAACCTGTTAGTTGTTTAAAGCGAATCTTGGCGAGCAACTTCTTCCAAAATTGTTTTGCTTCTCACAGGATAGAGTAGTTTTTGAGCCTCAACCCCCCCCCTCCCCCTCCCCCTCCCCGTGATTTATTACATCAGATGGCCCATTGTGTCCAGCAAAACAAAGAAAGTACTCTAGGAGCGATCGAAGAAAAATAAATCCTTTGCCTTTCGTTTTCAACTTTTTTTGAATTATTATTACTATTATTTCTCTCGCACAACCACTTTATTTTGAAGGTGTATGACTAACCGCTTGACGTAAATTGCTACATAGTTATCCCCTTGGCAATTCCGAAAGTCAAGCATTAGGATGGGTTTGCACGTTATCATGTATCCGAGTGTTATATACAGAGGTCAGCACTTA